GGAGCTGTGTGGGGACCCCATCAGTGCCCGTGTTCGCGCCGTGCCCAGAGAAGCGGCTGTGCCCCCCTGCCAGGACAGGCTGCCCGCAATGAGGAGGCATCTTTGGGGGCACAGCGTGTGCCTTGGCGTCACAGGGATCAGGGATTTTACCTCATGGATTTACCACCTCTTGCCGGCCGCCTCTGACTCTTCTTAAATGTGTTTCCATGGGGAAAGGCCTTACCCAACCCCATCTCTCCCTTGAAAGGGAAGCACAAGGACAGAGGAGTCTGACAGCCCCCTACCAAATCCTTTTCCCCTTCCATCAGTTGACAGCACAGGGCAGTGACCAGATCTGCACAGACACAGACCTGAAGTTGCCCCAGTTGTGGAGGAACATGGAGTTATTTTGGCTCCTGCCTTGGTTCTGGTACAGACAGATGGGACACGCAGGCTGGTGGATTTCCAAAGGGAAAGTCCAGCTCAACAGCAATGGTGCTGCCTTCTGGAGGGCTTGAATTCCCTGATGTCATCAGTGAGTGAAAGTTATTAATGAAAGTTCTTAATGAAAGTTCTTGATGAAGGTTACCAGAGACCTACCCAAGACACCAAGACGGGCAGCTCCACCTTAAAGACAACTGGGAAGATCTCCTGCCTTCCCCACTGCCCCACTTGAGCTGCTCACAGACCAATTCTGTGACCACCAGTTCTGCTGGTCTTCCAGATATCATACAATGGGGTCACTTTCATTCCCTACCCATATCCCTTTTATTCAAACCAAGATAAATATGAGTTAAGCCATGGATAATGCTACTTCAAGGATAACACCATGGCAAACAAACAAACAAACAAAACCCCAGAAGCACATTCCAATTCAGAAATTAAATGTCTTTATTTTTTACAACAAGCACATAACAGTGCCCTTACCTTATTAAATAAATGAAACATGTAAAACTATCTGCTTACAGCTCCATGTGTCCAGATGGTGAAAAAAGACGAGCAAAAAAAAGAAAAAAGGATTCCAGTCACTTTTATTCATCAGTCAAAGGTAAACAACACTTTTGATCAAAAGTATTCCCACTCACATCTCCTAAAGCCCCAGGCAGTTCATCTGCTTCCACAGAAGTCTTCCTGAAAAGGTAAACCTGCATGATTTACCTAAAAATTACCAGTAAATAAATCCATTGGATTTTCAGCACCAAGGTAAGTTTAACTGCAAATCTGTGCTCTTGGGCCACCTCTGCATTGCTGAATTCCTGGCAGCAAAGGCCAAATGCTGCAAGAAAATAAAGATTTCCCCCACCACAGTGTCAAGTCCTACTGGACTCACTGAACCAAGGGCTTTACTGGGAGATACAGACCTGCCCAGTGACCTGGGCTCTGCTGTGCAGACAAGCAGAGGGACTTCCCTGCACAGCAGAGCCATGGGCTCGTGCCAGGGATGGAGCAGGAAGGAACCTTCATCCCACCAAGATGCACTTAGTGCTCAGTGCTGAAACCTGGAGTCATGCATAGAGCCACTCACACCAAGTGTCTTCATTGAGTCACTTAGTTACATTTGTATTTTCCACCTGGTCATTAGCACAGAAATCCTGCAGAAATCCTGCAGGCTTGAAGGAGAGCGGGTTGGTGCCCTCTCTGCAGAGCAACATGCTCTGTCAATGCCAGCTGCTCTCCACAGCCACATCCACACAGGAAAGTGTTTCTGCTGTGAAGAGACGTGACATGCACTTCCCCAAAGGCTGCTCACATGGACTTGGCATCCTGGCAACACTCCCCCTCTTGCCCACTCCAGCATGCCCCAGACACCCTCAGCCACACTCCTCCAGCCCAAAGGGCAAAGCAACACCATCACTAAAGGGACCAGTTCCAAACCTGAGAGCTGCTGCTCTCTGCTCCAGTGTTACCATCATAACCCCGGCGGGGTAGGCAGGTGTTGGTGTCCCCATCCCACTGGTAGGGAAACTGAGGCACAGAAAAATGATGTGGTGAAAAATATTGATGATCATGGTCATGAGTGGAGCTGGGTAAAAAAAAACATCCCTTGCTCCAGATAAGAGCTAGAGAGATGCTGAAGGCACAGTGCTGGGAGAGAGTGCTGGCCAGAGCTGGCAGGACTGCAGGCACTTCAGGTGCCACTGGGAAAAAGGAGCCGGAGAGGGGACAGACATGCACAGAGGATGTACTGACACAAATCAGCTGAATTTGCTGATCTGAACTGGATCAAACTCCTAAAGAACCCAGCAGCTTGTGCTAAAAATAAGACATGTTTTACATTGCATAAAGTAAGAATGGAAAAGGTAGTAATATTCCTCATAAACCAAGGATTTATAATTATTTGTGTTGCCACACATACTACAGGCAGCCCTTTGGAACTACTTAAATAGATCATTTTTATATATTTATTCATGAAGCAGCCACATCTTGTGTTACCTGTCACCTCCAAGCTCTGCCATCACATAGCTGTGGAGATGTCCCAGGTAAGATGGGCCTCTCCCATAGCCCCATCTAACACCAGCCACACCTAACTGTCCATCTGCCACCCCTCCAACCCAGGCAGTCCATCAGCCAGTCTGTGAGCACTAGGACAAGCCAGAGGAATCCTGCTCCCAAATCACACTCTGCTCAAGCTGCCATTACTATCAATATCTTTTATGTTATTCCTGCTACCCACAGTGGGCTGTTACTCCATTCTTCACTTTACACAGTTACACTCAAGCCTTTTCAGTAGCTGGTAGATCCAGGACCTCATTTAGTCCCATGCAGTCTCTCCACACCACTGTCACTTGTCTTTTTTTTTTTTTTTTGGCTCAATCACAAAGAGAGTGGGAACTTCAAAGCACCAATAAAGCAGGAAAACAAGGCAGCAGAATTGGTCTGCCAGGGAGGCCAGCCCTGGCAGCCTCAGCAGGGAACTTTGCTCAGAATTAGAAAATGCTCCTCATTCTTCAAACAGGTGGCTGCATTTCATGCTCAAATTCCCAACGTTATCTTGCCCAGGATATGGGATACATCCCCAAAGGCCTTCTCAGAAGCCCAGTGTCCAGCAGCAGCTCCAGGCACAGCAGGGAATGGCTCTCTGGCACAGACCCCAGAGGCTGTCGGCAGCTCCAGAAGACCCTGAGGAGTTCAGCTGAGCAGCTTCTCCATGGAGTGGTGGGTCCTTGGAGGAGAGGGTGAGTGAGCATTGCACCAGCTCCTCCTCCCACTGCTCCAAATCCAGCGGGCAGATCTGGGATGTGGACTGTGCTGGGTGCCCAGCAGCTCTAGGTGCCTGTGCCTCCAGCAGCTTCTTCGCAGTTTCCATTGGGGGACAGGCTGGTCAGAGCCACTTCTTCCTCGGGGTCCTGCAGGCCACCTACAAAGAGAAGAGAGAGGTCAGGGGAGATCTGAATGAAAAACCCTTCCTCATACAAAATATAAAAGATGAAAAGAAAGCATGGAATGAAGCAGTTGATGTATACTCATAGTCTAAGCACAACTGATTTTTTTCGTAACTGAATTTTATTGTGTTTTATGAACTCAACATTGCTTCAGCAAATAGAGCAAAGGAGCACAGGGTCCAGCTCCTGGCCTCCTGAAGTCTCAGCAAGCTCAGAACAAGTTGCATGGCCATAAGGCATCATTTGCCTGACACTGACAGCAAGATCAGGCACTCTTCTGACCCTGAAAGACCTGTCTCAAAGCTACACGAAGTGGACATTTCAGTTGTTTTCTCCAAACTCCTATGCACTTTAAGCATTTTATGTGTTTAAGAGGCATTTGGACAATATCCTTAGTAAAATCTTTTAATGTTTTGCAAGCCCCAAAGTGGTCAGGCAGTTGGACTAGATGATCATCATAGGTCCCTTTCAACTGAAGATATTATATATTCTATTCTTTTTACAGCAAAGGAGCTTTCCCTCCTCTTTGTGCTTCATAGAACAATCTAGATCTCCACACTACACACCTTGTAGGCACCTGCATGAGTTTCTTTCTGCAGAAAGAAAATCACTGCTGGGAAAGGCAAGCAGAAGTGCCAACTGTGCACAAAGGCTGAACACAAGACTATTTGTTATCTGAACAATTTCCTTTAGAATCAGGGAGCCCAAGGCTGATTGCCCTTCCCTTCTCTCTGCCAGCCCCAAAGGCAAGTGGTTTGAACACTCCTTCCAGCTGTGTTTGCAGGAAAACACCATGTAACATCAGAGTGATACTTCTAATTCATTGTTTAGCCAGACAGGAGTTCTGCTGCCAGAAACTCCAGCAAAAGGCAGCTGAGTTCAGCAGTGCTTCCAGGGGTATATTTGGGCACTGGACCCAGCATGGCTTTGTTTAGGCAAGCGAAAGATCAGAAAACAGGGAGACAGCAACACAAAAGACAGATGTGTGCTGGTTGTCTTCAGGTTTGGGCCAAACCACAGCCAGGGAAGAGGGGCCAACTGCAGAGCTGGAAATAGCTGAAGGAGGCCACCAGCAAGGGGCTTGGGCACCAGGGAGTCAGTGAGGAACCTCTGATGGTCACAGCAGAGTACAAGGGAGGGAGCAGGGCATACCTTCATGAATGTTGTTTGCAGCTTTTGCTTTGTGATCTTTTCTCCAGCTCCTCTGTTTCCAAGAAATGCACCGCAGGAAGGATGGTAGCCTCCACCTCTCCCTGTCTTTCCCCTCTTCTGAATAAATGAGAGAAGGTGAGTTTAGACTGGTAGCAGGTCAGCCCTGCTGCTGCCCCACTTCCACTCCACAAGCCCAATTTCTCACAGCAAAACCAGGTCCACACCACAGAGCCACCCATGAAAAGCACAGAGCAGTTCCTGACAATCCTTATTTCTGGCTGAAACCTCTCTTCTATCCTGGAAATTTGTCTCCAGTGTCAGTTTCTACTTTGCTACCTCACTGCCAAAACCATTCTGGAGGCAGCAGCCCAGAGTGAGCAAGAAACCTGGCAAGAGGAGCTCAGCCAGCACAGGTGGCCAGGCTGGGAATTGACATAGTGAGGGAATTCCCACAGAAGGAAGATTTTCTTTTGCATTATCACACAGCTTCTGCACCATCAACCTATTTACTGTTCCCTGCTTTATTAAGCAATTCCCTGAACACACACAGGCTTGCAGCACACTGAAAACTGCAGCAAATTGCAGAGAGCCTGTGGTCGATGTATTTATTCTGGAAGACAACAAAGTTACTACAGATTTTCAAGCCATTATAGTAAAACACTACAGCAGCTTGTAAAATACTACAGCAGTGTAATTTTTATGGTCTCCAACAGCAGCAGTTCAGCATCTCCATTGAGCCTTTCACCTCCTAATCAGATAACAATGATAACAAATTCAGTGTCCTTCAGCTTATCAAACCATTGCGACACTAAAGGGTTCACAGTGACAATCCTTCCTGCCAGTCAACAAAACAAAAGCTCTAGTGAACTGCCGGCATGGCTCTTTAGAGGCATGGCTATGCTTGGGATCCCTCTGTCCACATGGAGATTTTGGAAGGCAGGACTCAGGAGCATGGAAAGAAGCTGTCCCTGCCTAAGGCTGAACCCTAGAGCTGATGAGTGTCCTCATTACACATGCAGGTCCTGGGACACTTACATGACTCAGAGTACCAGGCAGAGCACCAGAGCTGAATTAAAGCTGAGTCCTCCTACCCACCACAGTTATAAAGCACACACAAACAGGCTGCAACACCCAATCCAGCTCCTCCTGCTCCTCGTTCTCCACAGCTACATATACTAAGCCAAGCACTAGCAGTGTGCCAAGGTAGAAAAAGGTCATGTATGCAGGGATGCTTTTCTGCATCTGATGCCCCACCAGGCTGCTGTGACCAGAACTGGAGGACTCACTGGTGTCTGAGAGCACACCAGAAATTCTTGCAGCAGCAACAATGTGAGGAAGACAAAAACTTGCAAAAGGAGAGAAGTTGGAAAGTAGATTGTGCATGCCTCAGTTACAGAGTTGGCAGAAGACAGCCCTGTGCTGTCACAATGGGTCCTCGCCATCTCAAAGCTTCTCGATGTTCAGATCCAAGATTCTGGGCTGAGCTGATGGAAAAAAGCACCTGAACTGCAGCCAACTATCCCGATGTCCCAGGGATCCCAGAGGACCCTGTCAATGTGATGCTGAAGGCAAGTGCCAGGACCCATTACGGTAAAGGCAGCAAGATAGCAGAATACTCCAGCCCCTGGAAATGCTGGGGAGCAAGGGAAAAGTGGGAAAAAATGTAAGAAGGGAGGATGAAAGGGAAACAGCCCAAAACAATCAGTGCCAAAGATTAAGGTGTTTTGCGTGGCATCTGTGACAGCAGAGCCTGCCCAGCTGCCCATCACCCTGCAGTGGCACACAAACATGTCTCACCTTTCGCCTCAGAACAAGTGCTGTTCCTCAGGCCTGACTGACACCCAGCTTTCATCCTGCCGTCCTCACCTTGACATATGGTTTTACACCCAAACGATGACTTGCTGTTCTCACTTATTCATATTGTAAAATCAGCATAAGCATCTTCCTCCTGCAGGAAGGTCAGGTCCTGCCTGCACCCTACAGCATGGGCCACACCCAATCCTGCATCCCTCAAGAACACATGTGGAACAAGCATGGAAGGCCACCATGTCATGGATGGCCAGAATGTCACAACTGTCACCTGCCACATCCCTGTTATCCGTGAGCTGCTCCAGTACTTCCCAAACTGCTGGGATATTTCTCCAGCCGCTAGAACTGGGAACCTCACCAAAAAGCAACAGATCCCACTGGGAAGGCTCAGATCCTGCTAACATGAAAGAGGTCTCATTGGAGAAAGACCCCATCAGGAATGGTCAGATCCCGATGGGAAAAGCCAGATCCCATTGAGGGGGAGATCCCATCAGGACATCAGACCCCATTAGGATGGGGTAGATCCCACCAAGGAGGGGAAGATTCCGCAGGAAAACGGAGGAAATCCCGCTATAAAATCCCCAGGGTGAGAAGAAGGAAGGGTCGGCCCGGCCCCCCGGTGTTCCCCCCGCCCCGGTCGGTACCTGCGGGGTGCTGCAGGGCGGCCCGCAGGGCGCGGCAGGCGGCGGCGCGGCACTCGCCGGGCAGCCGGGGCTGTACCGGGCCGCCTGCACCGTGCCGGGCGCCGGGAAGTCTGCCGCACGCGGCGTCCAGCACGCGCCGCGTCCTCGCCGTCCCCGCCGGGCAGCAGGACGCCCACGACGGCGGGCGGCGGCGCCGCGGGCAGGCGGCCCCCCGCACGTCCCGCACCACCTCCCGCAGGCGGCCCGGCCCCGCGGCCCCGCACCGCCCCGCTCAGCACCAGCAGCAGCCCGCGCTTCCCAGCGCTCTCCGCCGCCCGCCGCCCGCCGCCGCCGCCGCGACCGGCACCCCCGGCACCGGGCAACGGTGGGCGCGGCGCTCGTCGCCCAGGAGGTCGCGGGCAAAGCGCCCATCGCGGGGCCCGCCGGGGGGGCCTCCCTCGGCCACTCGGCCACCCCAAGCACCGCCCCGCCGCCCGCCCGCCGCTCCACCAGCGCGCCCGCAGCTTCCTGCAGCTCCGCCGCCGCCATCCCCGCCCGTGCGCCCTGCCGCCCCGCACCCGCACCCGACACCGCACCGCCCCAGCCCCGGCTCCGCACCGCCCACTGCCCGCACCCGCCCACCAGCCCCGGCCCCCGCGCAGAGCAACACCCCCTGCGCACACCCCCGGGCAGCGGGGCGGGGGCGGAATGTTTATGGATTGCCCCCCTCCAGCCCCGTCCCGTACCCGCACACACCCCCGGGGAACAGCCCCCGCCTGCTGCAGGGTGGGCACAGAGGAGATGGTATTAGTGGGGGGCATGGGACCCCCCGATCGGCCACACAACCAGACTCGGAGCTCTTGCACGGGCTGGTCTTGTTTCACATGAAGAGGTGATAAAATTCAGGCAAAAACCGTGCTGTGGAGGGGCTAGGAGTGTGAGAGAGGGATGAGCAGAGACTGTGGTGACTGCAAAGTGGGACACACACGGGGCCACAATAGAGGAGCAGCTGATCATACACCTCAAAGGGTATAAGGTGTGCCTTAAGGTGTAACATCCCATACCCCAGGGCAGTGATGGAGTGAACTCCCTGACATCGTGTGCCATTGGCACTACGGAGCTGCACAGACTGGCCGAGCTATAGCCACACCTGGAAACAATTCCATTTGGAAATAATTATGCCTTCAAAGGGCATACCCACTCCACTGGTCACAAGTTTCCCAATTTGTACCCAGCTGAGCTGCAGTCCCCAAACCACACACTGCATCTCTGAATCCCTCCCCAGATCAGTGCCCTTTGGCTTTCCTTCTGCAAACATCACATCCATCCCCCTCCACACAAAACACAGCCCACAGTCACAGCCCCACCAGCATCATCAGTGCTCTACAGTGATACACACACGTCCCATCAAAGCACAAATGTTTGCAGGGGTAAATCTGGAGCGTTAGTCAGGGCTTTGCTTTAGTCAGGGCTTCAGTGCTGGCGCTTGTTACACGTATCCCACGAGCTGGCTCTGCCGTCTGACGGTGAATGAAAGCCTCTGTGCCCAGCCCTGGCACTTGCACGGGGACGCTCCAAACCATGCCATGTGCTAAATACTTCCCCTCTGCCATATCAGAACTGGCTCCTCCAAACCAGTAACGGTAATATCTTATCATAACCTGGGAAGGGATAAACAGCTCAAAGGTGCAAACGGCCAGAATCACCTTGGCTAGTCCCTCTCTGAGGCCGTTTGAAGCCAAACCATCTCTGAGTGCACTGGGGGGGGTGAAAGCAGAGCCGAAATCCGTGTGCCTGCCCTGGATCAGTGATTCCCAACATGTGCATAGGGGCACACTTGTGGCAGGAAGGTGTCTGAGCCAGGTGCCTGCTCCCTGCCCTTACTCGTGGCCATCTGTCCCCAGAGCCCAGCAGATCAGCAGTCACAGCACCGTGAGGGATGTGCCACAGGCTGGTCCTCAGGCTGGTGACAGCTTGGGAGGGTCACCGTGCATCACCAGTTTTAATCCTGGAAAACATTTGCCCCAGGTATGACAGTCTGAGCAAATGCTACCCTAGGCCAGCATTGTGGGGCTGGACAGCCCAGGCAAGGGCTTCAGAGAGACTTTCTGCCCTGGGTCCTAGCAAAAGTAACTTACTCATTACATGTGCTGATAAGCAAATGGGGAGGGAAGAGGGGAGATAAAACAGAAGGATTAGGCTCCTCTTCCAAAGATCAGGGTCTATTGTTGCAAGAGCCTACGCTTCCATGCCAACATGATAGCCCTCACAGCAGCTGTCAACATGGCAGGGCTAAAGTCAGACATAACTCAACAGCCAGGTCTGGCCTTAGTATTGCCCAGATTTTGTACTAACAAGGATTTTTTTCTCATCTGTTCAGAATCCTGCTCATGGCCCTCATGGGCCAGTGGAGAAACGCCCAGGTGTAATCAGCACCATGAGCTCTGCCAGCAGCAGCAGGAGGGGCCAAGAGGGTGTGATAGTCCCAGAAACCCTCATCTCCCTGCAGACTGCCACAAGAAGACCCACAGAGTGTTTAAACTCCTTATGAGCTGCCAGCACAGCCTGTCCTGTGCCCATTACACCATCCCTGATGTGCAGCCCATTTACAGTACAGGTCTCACAGGGTTTTCAAGCAGTGCCGTGCCAGTGACTAGCCTGGAGATGCCAAGATGCCTCAGGCATTGGGAAGTTGGCTTTCAGGCAGGCAATTCCCAAGATTTATGAAGATAAATCTTGCAGAGAAAGTATAGAAAAAATTGAAGTTATCCTCCTAACTCAGCTCAGAAAGCACACCATTGGCTACTTTTCTGCAGCAGCCACAATGTTTAAACTGCCAGGACAGCCACTAAAAAGTAATATTTGGGACTACATAGAACTGTTCTCCATGGCCACTGCAATTCTTTAGTTAATTTTGGGTACACACCAGCAAAGGCTGGTTGGAAAGGTGAATGTCACCCACAATACCCAAACAACCTTGTTTACATTTCTTTACTCATTAACAGAGGTAAGATTTAATAGCACATACAACTTTATCTCCTTTCGTGTTACTTAAAGAGGTACCACTCAAACAGATCAGAGGCACTCATGAGCTCAGCGGCGTTTGTAGTCCCCCACAAAGTGTCTTCAGAGCCCTGTCAGGAATCTGAGCAAAAACACAGATATATTTATAAGGCCTGACACTCCTTCAAGTATCCATCTGACAGTCACAATTGTAGAGAATCTCTACAGACAGCCCTAAATGAAAGTAATCACATCTCTTACATATGCCCATAGCTGTTCAGAGCAGACACAACAGCTGCTCATTTTGGACTTCAAAGGAGGAGAGAAGATGCTTTGTTCTGAGAAATAAATTTGGGATGTGTATTAGTAGTGTCTTGAAGTCTAAACAAAATCAAAGGTCTGGATTAGAGCCCTTAAGAAGTGCATTTACCAAGATTAACCTTGCTTCTAAAGAGAGTAGAAAGAGGACAGAAAAAGGATTCTCATGCTAATTTTGACGCAGAGGTGCTCACAGGAGCACATGGAAAAGCCTCTGAGCCAGCCAGGAATGGGAACTGGCTGCTGACAAGCTAAGCCTTAGCAAATCTTTGCACAAGTGCTCTGTCACAGACCTGCTCTCCAAGACTGCTTCAATTTACTGCTTTGGAAAAACACGTCCTTATGAGTTGCTGTGAAGTATCTGCTTTACTTGTGCAGCACTACCAGGAGCATTGCTGCAGGGCACCAGCACTTCACTGAGCTCTTCATCCAGGGAGATCTGCTAGGGTCCTCCAAAGAAGTAGCAGAGGAGGTAATAGTGAGAGAAGAAAATACCCGAAACCTCATCTATCCCGTTGCCCTGAACATCCCAGTCCCACTGATACCCTTCTAGCCCGTCTCCTGTTCACTCCTCCATGGCTCTTCCAATCTCCTCCAGTGACCTTCCCCAAAACTCCTCTCAATCTTTCTGGCCCCTGAACACAAACCTCTTCCTATTTTTCACCCACTGAAGTCTGAACTTTGTATCAAACCAGACAGAACCCTTTCTGTTACAAATTCAGTCACAACGAAATCCAAGCTGGGTCATCACTTTGTTCTGCCCAGGTCCCCTTGCCCCAGACCTCCAGGGACAGCTGGGTCAGCTCCAGTTTTGGTCCCGTGGCAGCCTGTACCAACTCAGCCCTGGCCTGGATCCATGCAAGTCATCACACTTCTCTGAGCTCCACTCAGGGGAGGTTACACACCATAAGCAAATAAAGTTGGGAACTTCCAGGTTGCCCTATGCCAGGGACACACCCTTGCTTCCTGATGGGGAACCTCAAAGATTTCCCTGCCTCTCTTCTCCCAAATCCTGTTCCCTTTGAAAGTTATGCCTCTTCCTGCCCATCTCTGGAGTTGTCCTAATTTTCCTCCTGTTTCCTTAAGTCATCATCCCTTTCTGGATGGCAAAGGGGCATTGGAAGGTATGTCTGAAGAGGATGGGAACCTGGCACAGGGCCATGTGCAGGGAGCCCAAACTGTTGTGTCAGTCGTGATCACACAATAGGAGGGATGCCTTTGCCTGTCACCTTAGAGATGAATGGAGGTTGCCCCTCAGGCTGCTTTGCTCTTTGATCCTCCACTGGAAGATGTTGAAAAACTGGCAATAAATATGAAATCAGACCCAAGGATCAAGCTGCCTCTTTTGGCCTTTTTTCTGGCTGTCCTGCCAGACCCTCATCTGGACCTTGCTTTTGGTTTGACACCAGGACCCATGACTAGCTGTTCACAGCCACCAGTCTCCATTCTTTCCCAGTACACATGTGCCTTTGACACCAGCAGCCCAGCTTTTCTGTGCTTACCTTTTGCAGCACGTCTTAAAAAATCACCCCAAATGTCACCAAGATGGAAACCAGTAGCTGGGGACCACTGCAAGGAGATGCAGCCCCTCCTGCCTCCCTCATGCTCCCTCTTGCCTCCTCCATCCTCCTCCACAAAGCCTCTTCTTGCCACAGGCCAAGCTCTCAGGTTCTCAGAACTGCTCTCTTTAAAAAGGCAAAGAAAGGGCATATCATCAGCTTCCCAGGCTGGAGTTGCTCTGATGGGTAGAGCAGGTGGGTTTGGTTCTACCTGTGCTGACACTGTTGAGCCCTGAAAGAGGCCACAGAGTGGCCCTTTTGGTACACTACATGGCACCAAAGGGCAATTGAGCTTTGCCCAGGCATGTAGTGCCAGATCAGTGAGGAGCAGGGCTAGGCAAGGGTGTTTCAGAAATGTACAAGCTTGGTCTGGATGGCAAAGCTTGGCTTAGGTGCTGTCTTGAGCAAGATCATCTTCCAGAGGTTACACACTGATCCTCAGGTATCAAGAGCCCACAGGACAGCTGCTCTCTGCTGCTCACAATGTGTGATGCCAGCTGAGCAGAGCAGGTTATTCTCTTCTGTTCTGGGAGTAGAGCTGTTGCCCTTGGCAGACTTCTGGGCCATGCACCAGTGCTCCTTATGCCTGCTGGTGTGCCTCCTCCTTGGGCTGCAGCTGAGCTGGGTGAAGAGGGTTCAGGCCACAGCTCTTTGTTCCTACTTTGCTCC